TTGCAATTCAGTGGTTAGAGTATGAAGTGATAGTAAAATACAATTAAAATATTTATAATGACCATAAATAATCAATATATTTATGGATAATTCGAAACTAAGTATTTTTGGATTGAAAGTAAACTAAAATCTATACAAGCCAAATAATGAAGCACGAAATTTTGCCACATATGATCTCAAATCATGGGAGCCTGTCACTTAGGCTCAGCACATTCGAGAATTATATATAAGTGGAATATGACAAATTCTTTTACACCTCAATGGCTACATGCACTTTCTTTTACACATTGTCTCATAAGAAAACCTTTTTTTTTTCACTCCACAACTCACAACGTTATATCATTATAACAATCACATATCCAAATGAACTGCATAACCAACAATTATGCGATATTTTATCGTATATATACCAACGTGTAACCAAATCGGACATATAATTAATATTTATGCGAAAATTTGCATATTTGTTAATCGTATACCTAAATTGGCTTGGTCGTGGCCATCAGGGTCAGGGATGGTTGAACATTGTCGGTACTGGATGAAAAGCCTTGGTCTGGAGACAACTTAAGGGGTACGGGACAACGACAACATGTCGAGCTAAGGCCCTCGGCTAGCATGATGGAAACGCGACCTGTTGGTAGGTTGGGTCAGATGATCGACCAGAGAGGACGACGCTGGGGCTAAGAACAATTGGCGCTCTACCTCAGCGGACCCGAGTTGATCGCATCATTAGGCGGTCTAATACGAAAGACTAAGGAATAAGAAAGAATCTCACAATAATTAATGCAGCATATGGGCAAGGACGCGTGTCACCACCTGATTGGTCCACACCTCATAATCGTCTCTGACATACAAGGTAGTGCGGGTTGTACTATCGGCAAGCTTCTGTAGCCACCTCACCTCATCTGGGCAGCCTTCTAGAAACAGATACCTCATCCCTATAAATTGGGGTGAGAAGTGCGATTTTAGCCATTACGTTCATATACTCTATATTTTCTGCAACTCATCTTCTACACATACTAGACATGTCAAAACGGGCTGGGGAGGCAGGCCAACCCCCAGCCCGCCGAAACTTGTTGTTTGGTGGAGCGGTGTAGGGCGGGCCGCCATCTTAGTTGGCCTTCAAAATGCTCGCTCGGCCTACCCACGCCACAGGCCACGGGCAGGGCGGGCTGGCCCGCCCAACCTAAAAAAAAATAATTGTAAACGAGGAATCCGTGCGAACGCCGTCCATCGTCAGTGCTTGCCCTTACCACGTCGTTGTCAGCGCTCGGCATCGCCGCGGCTGGCAGCCGAGACGTGCGTGGCCTAAGGCTCATCTCCGACCACTGGGCAAGAGCAGATATCTATGCGCTTGGAGGCGAGGGCGGTGGCTCAAGGGATCTCTCGATTCTAGAAATTTGAGCTTTGAGCTGGCGTACACCATGAATAAAAAAATTGGCCACCTAGAGGCGAGCGGCGGCGGCTCGGGGGATCTCCGACTTCTGGAAATTCGAGCTTTAAACTCGCATCTGCCATTAATAGCTGACGAATTAAAAAAAGTTGCCCTTTAGGCGAGGGCGGTGGGTCGAGGGATCTCTGGATTTTGAGTTTCGAGCTCGTGTTCGCTGTTAATGACGAACGAATAAAAAAAAAATATTGATAGCATGTTGAGAGTTGGAATTTATGGTGCTGGCAGCCTGGCGTTAATTGGGATTGGAATTTTGTTGGGAATGGGGATTATTTTCTAGAGTTGTGCAATTTTACAGGATATAGGATTATTATTCCCCTTGTTAACCATTATTAACTCAAAATAAATATATTATTTAAAAAAATTGAAGGTCTGGCTCGCGGCTCGCCTAGCCCGATCCGCCAAAACCAGCGGCCCACGCGAGCCAATTTGTTTAGGCCCGCTCTTTGTCGGGCCTTTAAAATTGCAGACCAACCCGCCTATTAGGCAGGACAGGGCGGGCCAGCCCGCGGACTCAGGCCTGTTTTGACAAAGCCTTATTAATTTACAACATATTACGAGGCTTCATAGAAAATTTAGTAAACGTGCCTTCGCTTTGTCTCTGTTGGCCACGTTCCACTTTTATTGTAATTCTCTCAACGCCTCTAACAGTGTTGTTATCAGAAGATCACATACCGATTTTGTCACAAAATTTACGGTTTCAAGAGCGTTAGGTGAAGCACCTATTCTTTACTATGAATTCTTTCCCACTTGTGTACTCCAATTTTCTCGAGATACTGTGTGACGTTAGGATTCGACTTTTTCTTATCTCATACATGTGTATATAAACTCATCAACTGTATACGCTCTTGTTGTTGCGTGAAACGCATCCTTCACAGCTTGCTCTTCTTTTTTACATGTGTCTTTCAAGTCGTTTGACAGGTGATGTGCATTAGAGAATGTGCAGCTTAGGAAATCCCTAAATTAAAAAACGTAACACAAGGGTTAAAAAGCATATTTGTTCTCAATTTATCAAGCAATATTTAACTACAATCAAGAATCTATAACAAACTGAATAAATATGAACCAAAATACGTATGTTATTTCAACATTTCATATTCTACATGAAATTGGATATGAATGTAATAGGACTGTTTATTTAATCTTTTTAAATGTTCCACAAGAAATCAATATACCACTTAATATCACAGATTTCAAAAACATAGATTGTAGAAGTGTATAATAAACATAAGAAATATGAACTATAAACTTTGTTTTACCTTAGCTATTGCATGTTTTATGTTATCATGGTTATCTGAAATAATGCATAATCCTTCTTTATCAACATTGACTACTTGTAATTTGGTGAAAAACCACGTGTATGACTTATTGTATTTTGAAACTCATAAACAGCAAAAAAAAAAATAGCATTGAAGTCAACAACACTAAATGCAAGTGGTAGAATGTGAAAATTTGCATCTTGGCAGTATGTTGTTAGCAAAGTTCATCCATGCGATGATGATAGAAATGTCTCATTGACAACAACAATCAGACGAAAGTGATTCCAACCTTTGACTGATGCCCTAAGAGACATGAATATGTACAAAAAAAAATCTTTTCTGAAGTTGTACACAACTTCAGTGTACTTCTTGGATTTGATGTAGGTACATTCTCCTGATATTGATGAACATAATCATATGAATCATCTATGTTACCCCGAACTTCACCAATTTGCGCTTTGATCTCTATGCCTTGTGATACGACAAGTTAATTCTGAATCTATTTTGCATGTCATCAATGATGTTCATAGTACTACATGCGGTTTTATTGTTCCTGGACTTCGACTTGATAAGATTAGGAACAATGTTAGAAGTCGCTTACTGGTTCGAACTTCAAACCCACATTTATGGTCACTCCTGAACTCTCTTATCTTGATTGTGCTTGAATGACCGAAAAGCGATGCTTTCACGAACCATCTGCAATCACTAGACGCTCTTTTTTAGTTTTAGAATTCTTTTCAAATTCTTAGTAAGAATTTGAGTATTTTGATCCCTAGTACACTTCATGTATTACTGTTTAGTACATGACTTTTCCACCCTAAATTGATATCATTGCTTTATTGCATGAACGTTCAATAACCTCTGCAGCATATATTTGTCTTTGAATAAAAGACCAACGACTATATCAGAGTTCAACTGATCCTCGATCAAGACACTTTTTTTCACTTAACGAGTATATGTTAGTGTATGTTCGGTATATGTTGCGTCTTCTACCATATCTTCTACTACATTGCGTGCAAACGACAAAAAAATTTATGGACCCGGAGCTACATTGAAATCGTAATTCATTTCTTCAATATTTGAGGCGCTCTCGAACGACTTCAGATCATTAACTGGAGACTTCACAACAACACATACAGGATACCTCGTGTAGTCAGTCTCCTTTGACTTCAATTCCAAATATAACTTAAGACTGCTATCATCATCTATGCACATCGGTGGATATCTTTCTTTCAATTGAAGTCTTATAAGCTCTTTCTATATTTAAAAGATTTTTTTTTTATTGTAGTCAGATGAGTTATGCAATTTAAGGAGCATAATTTGTATTTTTTTTCTTTTCATAAACTGATGTTTCGCATTAAATTATTATTTCATCGTGATTTCGTTTTAATGCTAATCTTTTAACAAATATCGTACATGTACAATATTTTCAAATTGAAAGGAGACAGAAGGTTTTGAATAGAGACCTTTTCAATTAGATGGTCGAAACCCTCTGACTAGTGCCCCTTCCGCTCGAAAGGGGGTGTCTATATGTACACCCCCTTGTGTGTAAAAAAGGGGGTGTACATATAGCATTGCCCTTTGTGTAATTTATTAAAAAGGGGTGTACATATAGCATTGCCCCTCGAAAGACTCGCTCCACCCAAGAGAGAGAATTCACCATAATAATTATGCTTAAAAAGGTTATATAAACAAAATTTCATATTTATTTAATAAAGCAAATTTCATACAATTATTATTAACCAATCAAATAGCATAAAAATTTTGAATGCCAAATATTCTTCTTGAATATATTCGAATTGCATAAAATAAGGTTTACAAATACCTAATTGATTTTGTTACAATAGCACACATACAAAATAATCATGTCTTTTTATACTGTACCCAATGCCATATCGTCCACACATCCCAGTTTTGACATTTCATCCAGCTTTGAATGGTATTTTAGGAGGCATCACATGATTTTTATAATCAAATTTACTGACCTTTACGCAGAAAAGAAAAAAAAAAATATACAAAAACCAAAACGGAAAAGAAAATTAATGCCAGTAACAAAAAAATTGGGTTAGCTGACCCCCGAACGTTGTATCTTTTCTCGAGTTATTTATCCCGTCGTCTCGAAAAAAAAAAAAACAAAAAAAAACAAAAAATTTGGACGAACAGACTACTCCGCAAACAAAAATTTGGACCAACAGCCAGCACTAGTAACTCAGAACCTAATTATTACAGTCAATCACCAAGTGCCAAATGAAGCAAATTTGGTAAACTTGAATCTGCGTAAATGCGGAACTTCATCTGTAGTATGAAGCCATAATATGAAACATGAGCGCTGCTGAAGCAGTTACAAGCAATGCCTGAAAAAAATAACAACAATCATCTCTCTAAAGTCGTCAACCTTAATGAAAATTAAGTACATCCTGCAATTATACTAAGAAGTGCCATTCGGTGTTGGAAAGCTGCATTGGTTTAAAGGAGCAACTTTTGACTGAAAACTCGAGTATGTACAGCAACAGAACACTTGATATAAACAAAATATATACAGAGAAAAAATGAGATACCACAACACTCGAGACCTAAAAACTGCATTTTGAACATGTTAGCTTCAAACTCACCATCGTTTAGCATCATTTGCAATTATGATATTAAATGAAATTCGAAAGCCATAAATTTCACTCCAGATACATAGATCAACAAGGAATACCAGTTCAGTTAAGATTCAAACATGAATCGAGTATATCAGTCCCATTCAATATATCAAATTCTGTTAAAACTAATTTTCAGGAAATGGCTGAAAATGATTTGAAAGGAGAACGTTATATTTCCAAGTTCAGAAGTAATTGTAGTATATGCAAAGAAGGGAATTTGCTAAAAAGAAAAGGTCCTATGTGATTCCGATGCTTTGATCTCCAATTTCTTACATCAATGAAAACTCTTATCAGTTCACACTTATCTACCTTGAAATTTTTAAATTTTTGGCAGGTCGGTCAAAGTTATTCATCCATGGGAATTATTACAATATTTTTTCCACCATAGATGCTCCGGCTCCATCAATAAGATAAATAATGTAACTTGCATATAGAAAAAATGCTCGCCATTATTGCATAAACAATACTAAAAGCATCATCTTTCCAAATTATGGTCCTCCTCTACAGCAAGTGACATGATTGACACTTTAATACGTAACTACCACGTCTGTTTTCCTTCACATTTGATATCCAGTCAACTATTGTGTAAAATTACTTGTTTTTCCAATATGCGTGTCTCATTCTTCCTCATTGTGCTGAAGAACTTTATGCTAATGGGTAAAAAATAAAAAATAAACCAGATTCAGTGACCATAACTAAGCAGACCACGCACAACATGTTGTCATGACAGCACAAAAATAAGACTTGGCCACATATAGATAATTAGTCGTCTAATTCGACATATACATCCATTATCATGATGCACAATGGTTGTTACCTGATTATTGTACAAGAAAACAGGTATGAAACCGCCAAAAGATTCTATCACATTTAGAAGACCAGTGTATCCCTGTAAATTTCAATATCAAAAGTAGTATCATCATAACCAAAATCACAATGATATTACCTCACTATAAATAATATTGCACAGCCAAGGCAGTATTTTCTGCTGTTATCATAACATAAATCACTTCTGCAACACGAACTTTGACACTACTCGGTGCAATTTCAGATTTTCTTTCAATTTTTACAATTTTGCTGTTCTAAAATATATTAACTAGAGAAGTTTTTGAAAGCCAGAAACTTTATCAGAAGAGCTAAATATGATTTTCCAAAGGATGATCGGTAATCTTGTTAAAATACAATGAGAAGCAATGAAGTGGAATAAAATAGCGAAATGATGACCCAATATTTGGTAGATGAAAATGTGGGAAACCGAAGAAGTTATAGTTTCTTAAAATAAATATTCATTTGCATTTTGGGATAACAAAAATTGTCCAGCAGAACAGATATAGAAGGGAGAAGAATTACATTCAATTGCACTTTTAGGATCTGATTTTAACAAGGTAATATTATTCACTGACATGACTGCCAACACAAATAAAATTGTTCTGCATACCAATGATGCAAAAGCTACACATCCAAAAACCAGGGCAAGAGATCGTAGTAGTCTTTTGCCCATCCGCAACATTCTACCCTCATCCTCACCATCTTCCTGCAACAAATATCAGCTTAGAAAATCACTAATTGGTACAACTACATTTCCGTTCAGTGTATATTATTATTATTATTATTATTATTATTATTATTATTATTATTATTATTACTACTACTACTAGTATTATTATTGTTGTTGATGTTGTATAAACAACATAACTACAAATTGAAAAGAACAATTATTCTTATCATAACTTACCGTAAATGTGGAAGATGCAAGTGATTCAGAAGCACTTAACTTCTCAAATACCCGATAAACATAGACAAAAGCTAAAAATTGCAAAGGTTTGTATTCGGCACTGCGTTTGAAGAAAATCCAAGCTGTCTGCAAAATGAGAATGGAAATGAACACATGTAATGTAATCACTGCATTTAAGCCATAGGTGATTCGTTGAATTCATGAGCAACTACATTCCTATTGGTCCCCAGAAAATTTTTACCAGTGTAAATATCTCAACATAAAAATGATAACCATAAGGATAAGATATTAGAATATCATCTACGTATGAAAATAGTACACTTGTACCCACAATTTAAGAGAGGGATAGAGAGAAAAGTAAGCCAATTTTCCTGTGATTACAAAATTAACACTACCAAGTTTTAAAACAAAATTCAAAGTTTCACAAATTAATTTTTAATATATAGCTAATGTCTACTGTGGTCACTTCATCATCATCAAATACAAGTCAAATATTATTTATTTTTTTCTTTTTTTGTTTGATTAATTACTATAGTTTATTTGGTCAAATTGCTGGGTTAATTTAACTATCCACTATACCCCTAAATTTGACATCCTAGATGGATCCACAGGTTGCAGAATCATAAAAAACTCTACTAGACAGTGCCAGTACACACAATCTTCGAGTTATCCACAAATGGATTCAGAAGAATGAAATAATAGCATGGGTGTCAAACTACAAACTACGGCATTTTTCTTGTAGTACAGCAGGATCAACCCCATAAATATTAACCTTACTTCCAAGATGCAGATTGTCATTAACAACCAAGATCAAAGCACATCATAAGTAATAATCAACCTTTCCTTTTTATACTTACAAAAACAGCTGATATTGCCATGTTGATTCGAATATCTTTGACTTCAGACTTGGAAAACCTGAACCATAGACCAGATAAGAATTATAAATGCGCCTAATTAAGGGGCAGGGAGGGGGGGAGAGGAAAAAGAAAACAACAGTCTTCATTATGGTGACATGAGAGATGCATAGTGTACATAGTATTCACTATCCGCAGCTGAAGTAACCTTAGGAGTTAGGAGTCATAGTAGATGCACCACACAATAGGTAGAAAGTTACTTTCATTTTCTTAGATATAACAATGGAATCATGAAGGAAACAATAATAGGTAATAAACATTAGCTATCAGGATTTCAGAATCCCAGTGCATAAAATTCTTATGAAAAAATGTATATGAGCAGCAGCACTATTTCTGGAAGAAACACATTGATGAAGCTACCTCGGACCCCATGGAAAAATTGGCTGTTTATCAGCAAACTTAATATCTTTGGAAACCTGAGTCACAAAAAAAAAAAAAAAAAAAAAAAAAAAAAAAAAAAAAAAAAAAAAAAAAAAAAAAAAAAAAAAAAAAAAAAAAAGAAACATAACAGAACCAATTATTGAAAATAACATCTCATAAGGAAAGAACAAAGAAGGATTGTTAACCTCATTTCATCTCCTATAGTTATAAGAATATGTTCATGAGACTAGTAGTTTGAGAGATGCAACACTTATGCACGCATAAGGCTACTTATTTCACTAGAACAGCTATTTCCTCTCTCATCCCACCACAGCAACATGACCATGATTATGCATGCACACAAACATAAGAACCATATGGAACATCGAAGCTTCATTCCACTCTTACTAAATGAAAGAAACTGGGGGAAAAGGAAAGCCCATATGAGGTTCCATCCCAAAACCAATTGGTGAAAGGAGGAGTAGCCCATTAGACTTATAAGGTGGGTCTATTTTCCATGTATGAACGATGTGGGACAACTCACAAGTGATATTCTAACACGCCCCCTCACTTGTGAGTCCTGATATCATGTCTCCAACCCAGGCACAAAGTGGGCTCTGATAAACCCAGGCACAAAGTGGGCACAAAGTGGGCTCTGATAAACCCAGGCACAAAGTGGGCTCTGATATCATGTCTCAAACCTGGCTCTGATACCATGAAAGAAACTGGGGGGAAAACGGTGCGGGCCCACTAACATGAAGCGCACCAAAGTGGGGAAAACCCAAATGAAGCCCAATGGGGTTCCATCCCAAAACCAATTGGTGGAAGGAGGAGTAGCCCATTAGACTTATAAGGTGGGTCTATTTTCCATGTATGAACGATGTGGGACAACTCGCAAGTGATATTCTAACACTAAAGATGTTAAATATCTATCGAGGGCAAACATAAACATATTGTGTATGGTTCCTAAGCCGTATGCTTCAAATATATCAAAAAGGAAGATCCTAGAGCCAAAAAAAGCTCAAAAGAGAAAAGACAACTACACCATCGTAACTCGTGGAGACCAAGATTGGTAAAGGAGTAGGATAAAACAATGAATCAGTCGCATGGTTCCTTTCATGTACTGTTAAGAGTTATATATTCAGGGAAAGAGGTGTGGTCCCATAGTGGTGAAGGTGACATCTAAGTGAGGTTTCATCAAAACCAATAGGTGATGGACTAGGCTTATAAACTAGGTCATTTGCCCTATAACATGAATGTGGGACAACTCATGAGTGATATTCGAACATGTCCAAAACCCAAATGTGAAACTCCAAACCATGCACTATTAACTGGGATTAATACTTGAATCAATAAATAATCCAGTTGTTCATAGCTATATACAAAGGATAGCAAGAACATAATTAAATAGAAAAAATCCCCGATTGGTCGTATGTTCGAATCCTACTTGGGAGATCTGATTCATTCTGAATTAGAGGCTAGCTGATGCGGACGCCTTCTTGCACCAGCTTTGATTCTCGTCCGATGAAAGACCCGCAGTAGAGTTTAACCACCAAATTCGGGATGGGTTGGTGTGGTTCCTCTACGCCTAGGACACCAGAATATCGAACCATGAACGAAGAAAGGTATGAGAGAAAAGCCTGCTTTGCTCCCCTGATCCAGCGTATTCGTGCTGTCCAACACGGAACCGAGAGACGGGACGCCTAAAGAGAAAAAAATTTCCTTTCAATAATGTCCCAGAACAAACCTACTTTCTTCTGTTTTAGTTTTCCAACCTCCATTTCTTCCTTACTCTCAGCACACACCTACTTCTGCCGACTGAATGCGATTTATAAAATGTTTAATACGAGCAAACACTTACAACAACAACAAAGCCTCTTAGTCCCAAACAAGTTGGGGTAGGCTAGAGATGAAACCCAGGAGAAACAGTGGTAAGAGAAACACAAAAAATGGCTTAAAACAAAACAAAGCAATCCAAAACAAAAACAACACAAAACAACACAACACAAAACAAAACAAAACTCAAAACAAAAATAAAACAAAAGGAAGAGATTGGAGCAAAAGAGAAAGGAGCAAAAGTCACGGTTCCAGCACGTTGATCGCTAGCCTCCAAGCGCTCCTATCCACCGCTAAATCCTTATAGATATTCCAAGGCCTCTTTGAACCGACTCTTCCCAAGTGAGTTTAGGCCTACCTCCACCTCTCTTAACATCATCGACCCGCTGTAGAACTCCCCTACGCACCGGTGCATCGGGAGGCCTCCGTTGGACATGTCCAAACCACCTCAGCCGATGTTGAACCAATTTCTCCTGAATTGGAGCCACCCCGACCCTATCTCGAATATCTCGAATATCCTCATTCTGGATTCTATCCCTTCTTGTGTGCCCGCAAAACCAACGCAACATACGCATCTCTGCTACACTTAGTTGTTGGACATGTTGTCATAGTTGTAAATGACGAAAGGCAAGGCGAGGCGAATCGCCATGGCGAGGCCTCGGCTACACATGTCAACAAAATGTAGCAAAACAATATTATAGATTGTGCAATTATATATTCATTTTCAAATGATAAAAATAACATCAAATATCTCCAAACATATTTCCCTTTTGTAATAATCCCACAAAATTTGCACTTTAAATCATTTCTACAATCGTCCTTAACCATCCAAACATATTTCCATTGTGGATCATTAGAAGGATATTTAGGCGGAGCTTGAGGATTATCACTAGATTCGGCCATCTCGAGAATAGAACCTAAATATTAAATTACAAACAAAAAAACATCACTTTAAAAAATGTTATAATATTTGAAAACAGAAAAAAAAAAAAAAAAAAAAAAAAAAAAAAAAAAAAAAAAAGGAAAACAGTGATGGTGAATATCAAAGTACAAACAAAAACATCACCTTAATAATTGTTACAATTTTGGACAAAAAAAAAAAGTAAAACACGGGATGATAAAGACAACCATCACATATTTATTTGTGGGAAATTTATATAGCTGGAAAAAGAAACAAGTGGTCATTAGAATATAGCCACATATTGAACTACTTTAATATTTAATTAAAAACAAACAAAACAAAAGTCAAAGTTTTTTTGCTAAAAGAACCCCAAAAAAAACCCAGCAGAGCAGCTTTATATCCGATTGCGTCTGCTTAAAAAAGAAAAAAAACAAAACAAAAAAGAGCGGATGATGAAAGAATTATTACCTGCTGTGGAGCTCGAGATGCGGTGGAGGCACACGAGATCAAGCTTGGTCGAATTGAAGGTGAAGAATTCTTTTTTTTTTTTCTGTTCGTTGTCCCGTAACCCTTAGGTGTAGGTGGGAGATGAAACAATAAAGACCCGATGTGTTTTTTTAATTTTGTTCTCTCCTCAAAAGTGTTACACGCTTTCTTTTTCTTTTTTTTTTAATAGAAAAAACAGACTGCTGCCCCTTTAACTTCTGTGAAAGGTGCCGAGGCGCGCCACACAGTTGCCTCTCGCCACACAAAAAGGCGAGCCGAGGCGACTCGAAGCGAGCGCCTCGCGAACATGGTCGCCTCAAGCAATGGCGAGGCGATATTACCTTCGCCTCGGTCGCCTCGCCTCGAGGCGTCGCCATGGCGTCGCCATTTTAAAATATGCATGTTGCCTTTTTGTAGGCCAACATTCAGCACCGTATAGCATCGCCGGGCGAATCGCCGTCCTATAGAACTTACCTTTTAGCCTTTGTGCCTAACATCTTCATCAATGCCGCCATCCTTTTGTAGCATCCATCCTAAATACTAGAAAGTCTCCTTCTTGGCCACCACTTGCCCGTCAAGGCTAACGTTCACCAAGGCGAGCAAACACTTCAGACTCATTATTCTTTGAACTCCCTTTGAGTGATGAAAGGAAAAATAATAATAATTATCTACCATCCAAGGCGGGAGGCAGTCTGTTCAGAAGACTCAAAAGCAACTTAAGATGCTGAAATTTTTTTGCTGTCAGTCCGACCTCAGTCCAGGTTCAGTCGCTTCGCAGTGCAGGGTCAGCTATTTTTTTTTGTGTGGGCTGGGGGAGGGGGGTGTGGAATTCTCTCTCCAAAGAGCGCAGACACATTGACAAGGATCCCCAGCAACTCTTCCCCAATAGCTTATGGGCAGTCAACAAGACCATATTGTTTGGCAAACTTCGAACTTATTCCTTAGTAAATGATTTTGTCACGGTGCTGCACACCCTACCAAAATACTCCCTCCATCCCATTTAAATTATCCAATATAACTTTTCGATACTTAATCAATCTGGAGGTAATTTACTTAGAATGTTCTTCTCAACAAGACAATACGAGAAATTGTGCAAAATAAGAATATATATAATTAGAAAAGTCCTCATCTATTAGTGAGTCTTTACTCCAATAAAAGAAGGGTCTCCCTAACATGAGCTTGCAGCTCAAATGGTACCGCTCAAGGGTGTTGTGCTCATCCGTACAAGTGATAGGATTAAAGAATCAACAGAAAGAAAGATGATATTTATTAATGATAAATAGTAACCATAAGTTTAAAGCTTCCCAAAATAATGGTTCTTTCTGCCCACAAGAACTAATCTTGCTCAATATCCAAAACTATTACAATATGATTCATATTGCCAACCTTGCCTCAACTAGAGACCCTATATTTACGATATTTACTAAAGATATTAATTATGGAAGCAAGAAAATAAAGATCATCAAGAGTCAATTGATCTAGATATAAAATCACCCAAATCAATAGATTTGTTCTTCTTCCTTAGTTGTTTAATTATTATTTGTTCTTTAATATTACTCTCCATAATTATGCAATGTTTAACTCGATCTCCATCATTAAGGATCAGGCTCAAACCCAGTACCTCTCACTTTCTCAGGCATTTAGATTCCCCTACCATCACTCCACTTTTAACTATTAGAAAAAGGGAAAATAAAAAGAAGGTCACCCATAGCAGTGCATCTACAGCCCAGCGTAGTAAGAATAGATAAAGTATTTGATAAGGCGGCACAACCTGACACAGAAATGATGATGGTTCTACTGTCATGCATAAACACTTGGGAACGATTAATCTGTAATGTAGGAAGTCATCTATAAAGGGAGACTAACCTTGCCAATGCTCAATGATCGCTTTCTCAATAGAAAGTCCAAATAGAGCAAGAATAATTAATATGTCTGAAGTAGTGTTGGTAAACAACTAAACAAAATGAGGAAGAAGAAATAGAAACGATTAGAGAACGAGGGACAGATATATGGACAATGTCAAGTCGAATAAGGATTTCATGTCATGTTGTAGCATACAAACAGAAAAGATTGAACGAAGGAAGGAACACATATAGGGGAAACAATAACAATATAGATAGTAAGACAATCTCAAAAACATAACCTTCTAACTGCAATTTCCCACCAAACTTAACCCACCTCCTATCATGCAATTTGAATTTTGCTATAAAATAGATATTCCTTTAATATCACTTATTTTCTCAATACAAAAACTAGTTCATCAAAATAATTATTACCATACTATTGTTAGTTCATATTCGCTACTCATTTTAATAATAAAATTATAAATTCCAACAATAGAAATTATAAAAAAATTTGCAGAAAATGACTATGCATATAATAGTAAATAACATTTATTGCATCATTTTATGCCAAAACTTATTTTGCTAGTTAAAATAATAAATAGGGAAAAACCAATTCAAAGAAAAAAAGAAGTCTGGCACAATGCAGCAATGACCAATATAATGTTTGGTCTTGAGCATATGAAGTGTTCAGTTGGACTCCAATTTACACTGAACTCTAACAACATTCAGCAGGGTTAGCAGCAATTGGCACAATACTTATTCTCTCACTTTAGTCAGAAACTCCTATATCCAAATTTTAAACCAACATGGGAGCAAATACTTAATACTCCGGCCTCAAGCAACGATTTTGGCACACTCCTAACAATATCGCATGCATTCACACATTTCAAAGAGTATATAAACCATGAACCAAGCATTATCCGAGGTGAAGTACTAAAAAGAAAATTTGTATCTTTCATCCATATATTCATGCAAGGTAACAAACAAAATAAAGCCTTTACATACCTGAAACGAACCAAATGTCTCACCCTTTTTCCGCTTTGTCAACTGAGACATCATTATTTTGTCATATGCCTTTTCTACCTGAAAATATCACGATAGGGATAGGTATCAACTTTCAGAATATACATACAAATACTACATAGACCTATATTGAAGAAATCCTAAATTGTATACTTGGGACAGAGCAGCATCATCGCCTCTCCTCTCAGCATCCTTACGCTTCTTTGAGTAAGCTGACTTTACCGTATCAAATCCATCAATGGGGTTTACACCAAGAACCTGTACACTATGTAAATTCAATAGGAGATAAAGCATATAACTCCAAAAATCGAAACAGATAACCGTAAAATCACCTTATATGGATTTACGTCGTCGTTGGAACCAGAACTTCCTGCCGCAGAGAATGCGGCACGAACCACCACCCTACTACTGCTCAGTCGATGTAATCCCGAAAAGCTGACAAAAACGCAATACAAAGCTTTATTTCAATACATAAAAACCCTCAGAGGAAAACACTGCAGGAAAGAAAATGACAAGGAAATCATCACAACTGAATACTACCTAAGAGATGTACGGTGAATTGGAGACAAACCAACTTTCCGAAAACAATTATTGGGAGGGGGTATAGAGGTTTTGGGACATTGGATTAACGATAACGCCATGGAATTGAGCGAAAGAGAGAAAGTTTCAGCTTCTTTTCGGAGGGTTCTGAAGAATCCTGCTTAGATAGGTTTATGAGAAAGAAATTCCCGAAATAACCTTCTCAAAACATGAATTTGGTAGAGCATGTTTGTTTATAGAAATTTTTGGTTTTGTTTGAATTTTTTGGTTTGGTTTGGTTAATTTTGAAAAAGGTAGTATGGTTAGTTGTTAGTGGATATATTAAAATAATATTTAAAATAAAATAATTAAAATAATTTGATATAAAAGTAGAAGAGATATGGTTTGATGTGATGCTTAGTTAAAATAATGTGATTGGATGAATAGTGAATTAAGGTTGATGTGGTGTGTACGAATGATTGATTGATATTATTTAACTATATTAATAATTGATGATAGTGGGGTTGAGTTAAAGTTGAGTTAAAAAAAAATAGTTGAGTAAATGTGAGAAATTTTTTTAAAAATTTCATAAACAAACATGCTCTTAATGACCCTTTGACCAACATAATTATATACTAGTACAGAGCTCGTGCGATGCACGAGGTGCACAATTTTAATGTCATTTATCCATTCTTATAATTATATAAATGAAAAAAAAAAATGTACGGGATATATATAGTACGTGGCCTGTAATAGGCCAAAATGTGAACGGGTGATGCACGGGGTGCACAATTTTAAGGTCATTTATTAGTGCATACCCCGTGCGGTGCACGTGATACATATAATAAATCAATTACTTCTATAGGACTTGTACGTCTAGACAAAAAAACAATAGGCTTGGATCATCCATATTTCACATCTTTTAATAAGTGTTGTTTATTTAAGCCAAAAAATTAACATGTTAATTAATATATAATTCCGCTAACACGTCATACTAATATTTATTTGATTATAGAATACATATTTATTCATTGATATAGGAAAAAAGTAAAAATTTTATTAATTATTGTTCACCATATAATACTCAATTATTATTTTATTATAAAATTTACAGTCATATAACGTAATTATTATTATTTATAAAAGTTAGAAGTAGTCTTCTTTATGTAATGAAATTCAAAATCAAATTTTGAGTATAAATATTTACAAAATACACACACATGTTTTTTAGAATTCAATTTTTTCATAATAATTCTTTTTTTTTAAAAAAAAAAAATAATTTAGCAATTGCCAAAAAATAAACCCCTTACATAATCAAGGGATTTTTTTATAATTTTCATCCTAAGGCTTTATAGTTTATTTAACATACTATGCAATAAAAAAATATTTTACAATAAGTTCATTTTTGAAACATAACAAAAAAAAGTGAAAAACACTATCATAGTTGACAATAATATACAAATAAATAACATGTCGAAATTTTAAAGAATAACTATATTTTTATTATCTAACCATCCATAAAATCATTTAATGATGTGATCATTATCTTTTAAATAATAAATAATATTAATTTTTTAAAAAAATATTAGTGTTATATAATTAAATAAAGGTTAAAAAATATTACTCGACAAATATTAATTATAATGGATATCAGTAAAATCATTGCATAAATTATTTAAAGAAAAAACTTGAAGATCATATTTGGATAGTAAATGTAAATATGCAAGCATTTAATGCATAAAGTAAAAAATTTCCAAATAAAGTATGTATTAAATGTGTGTTGACTTTTCTTACTACTATTTTTGGTAAATAGGTTGCTTTTAATATATATATAGATAAAAATAAGACTTAATTGTCTATAAAACTCTGAACTTTTTATAAAATTCAAATAAAACTCAATATTTTTATCTTTGTAAATAAATATAAATTTTTTATTATGTATTATAAATTTGTCTTCGAACTATTTTCCGGCAAAGTCGAGCTGACGTGTCCAATTAAAAATCTTACGTGGCACGAAGGAGTCTTGCGTGGCAATCTAATTTTTCCACATCATATACCAATACGATTTGAATCCTCAAACCCCAAAATCCAAGAGCCCTATATTTCAACCCCAACATCAAAGAACCCTAATTTGAAAACATGGCTAAACCAATAGATTATGGCCTTGTTTGTTTAATGACTTTTTCCCAAATTTCAGCGTTTTGGACTTTAGCTTGTTTGACTTTTTCTTACCCAACTAAAAAATGATATTTGGTAACTAGCTTTTTCAATCAGCTTTTCTATCAAATCTGCTAAAAATGAAAATGCTAGCTAGAGGAGCGTTTTGAAATTGACTTTAGAAGGAAACTACTACCCCTTTTTTGTTTGGTCCAAATTTTATGTATAATTTGTTGTTGCTCTAATTGCTTCCAGTTTTGTACTGGTATACTGTGAGAATTGTCCATAAACTATCACCGAATTAAATTCTAGTTTGGGGTGTTACATTTCCGAATCGTGTCTTATGTCATAATCCACATCTAATGATTAACTTAGTAATAATATTGTAAAATCATATTTTTGATTAATTTTTTATTTTGCATTTCTTGATTTATATTTGTGTATATATATATTTACTAGTTTTACCCCCATGCATTTACACGAAAGCGATATAATAGAAGAGAAAGTAATAAAAAAATAAAAATTAAAAAATTATAACTTAATAAATGAGAAAAGAAATAATTTAAAAAAGTGAATCTTTATATTATTAAACACCTCTCTCTATACAACATTAGTGGTTTTCCTGTCGACAAAATTCTTATCACACCAAATCATTATCGTTAAACCCCTTTGACTCGTGACTCTCGGAATTGAGTTTTTAAATATCTTTGTAATATTCAAAAAAATATTTTTTTATTATTGTATGACTGCAATAGAAAATAGAGATATTTGTAGTCATTCTTAAATAGTTGCGAATATGACGTAAACTTATCTTGATTGATAAATATTTTCATTTTACTATTATTCTGTTTTTATTATATTTAAATCATTTTAACAAATATTTAAATATTAATTATTTTTATTTCCTAAATAATTATAAGTTGAAAATAAATTATAATGATAAAGTATGTTGATGTCCTTATAAGTAATTTTACCTGCTAACAGCTACCCAAAATAGCTAATTTTGCCAAACAACTTTTTACAAACCTCTAACACAATCAGCTGGTCAAAACAGCCAAAGCAATCCGCTAGTCAAAACAGCTAATCCAATCTGCTAACAGCTAACAGCTAACAGTTGATTTCCAAACAAGGTCTATAAATTGATAAGAGCCTAACCAAGGGGAAAGCCACTCGATGCCATGTTAAGGGGAAAGTTCGTATCAGCACTAGCTTCAATTGGGCATCAACAGACAACAGACGAGGCCAATAGGCGGTTTCGTGTATTTTTGGATGATAGGAACACACTGGTTCTTCACTCTGATTTGAGAAAGGTTATATTTTAAAACTTATATTTTCATTTTTCAATTTATAGTATATTGGTTTAGTCATGTTTTCAAATTAGGGTCCTTTGACTCTGGGGTTCAAATTTAGGGTTCTTGAATTTTGGGGTTTTGGGGTTCAAATTCTATTGGCATATGATGTGAAAAAATTAGACTGCCACGCAAGACTCCTCTGGGCCACGTAAGATTTTTAATCGGACATGATAGCTTGACTTAGCCGGAGACGAATTTGAAATACATAAAAAAATTGGTATTTATTTGCTATGATAAAAAGTTGAGTTTATTTGCAACTCTATAAAAGGTTAGGGGTTTATAGGCAATAAGTCTAAAAATAAAGTAAAAACTCCATAAAATAGGAAGAAAAGAAAAGAAAATAATTATTTTCATCCCCTACGGAATAAGTTTTATACATCGCTAAATAATAAGTTAATTTTTCACCCCACAAAAGTGCGAAATAAATTATACGATAGGCTATGCGACGGACTGGCGAAAATAAATAATAAAGTGCGAAACAATTATGTGATATGCTATGGAAATTACAGACGAAGATACTTATAGTATATTGGTTTGGTCATGTTTCAGATTAGGCTCCTTTGAATTTGGGGTTCAAATTTGGGGTTCTTGGATTTTGGGATATAGGAGTTCAAATCCTATTGGCATATGATGCAGAAAAATTAGATCGCTACGCAAGACTCCTCCATGCCACGTAAGATTTTTAATCGGACACGTCAGCTCGACTTGGTCGGATAATAGTTCGGAGACAAATTTGCAACACATAATAAAAGTTCGGTAATTATTTGCAAAGATAAAAAAGAATTGTGTTTTATTTGCAATTCTATAAAAGGTTAGGTTTATAATCAATTAAGCCTAAAATAAAGTAAAAACTCCATAAAATAAGAAGAAATAAGAGAAAATAGTTATTTTCATCCCCTACTGAAGTATAGACGGAACAAGTTTTTGTTGGGTTCGCTAGACCATACGGAGTAAAACGCAGCGGAAATAAAACAAACTAAATAAGCATTTATCTTATAAATTCTAAACCCCTTGGTTCAAATAGCAATTGTTACTATCGGCATCTTTTAAAATCATGTAAAAATACGAATTTTGATTTGTAGAAAATTCGAAAATTACCTTTAATTTTCTTCAAATAGTGACGACGGAGAGGAAATCAATTCCTTGTTATGTTGCTATCACCGACTTTGTTCTTCTCATCGTAAGGGATCCAATTGTCTCCCCTCTAATCGAGTTCACCTTTCGGATTCTCACTCTGAGAACAATTTCTTCGCTAGTAGAAACTTTCCGAAATTGAATCGGTATAAGGAATTAAATTGAAGGGGAGTTTTTTTAATGTTTCTTTTGCAAAAGTCGAGAGCTTCTTTTGCAATATAGGAGAGATACTTGTCTTACTAATAATTGTATGAAAACTTGCTTCAGAATAAGTCTCGTGAAGTCTCTCTCTTTTATACATCAAATGTACATTTTTTTAAATGTTGAAGATATTATTGATGTCGGTTGGTAGGGAAACCGATCTCACCAAAACTCGTTTTAAAATTATAATTAATCATGATGAGTGAGTTGGAGATAAGATGCTCCACTAACTTTGATTTAATTATGTAAGAATGAGTTGGAGATGATAATGAAGATTC